CTCCAACCACTTCTGGAAGGCGAGCCTCCCCTCGCCTGAGATTTGAGAAGCCCGATGGTGCGTTGGCTCACCATCATGCTCGACATCCTTCTCAAGGCGAGTTTGAGCGTGCGCGTCCAAGTCCAAGAGTGTATTTTCATCATCACCAGGGGGGAAGTGCAGATTTCTGGGGTGCCAGTCCGTGAGGATCAAAAGTGCCTCGATACTGCCCAGGGATCTCAAGTTTCCTTTGAGACTCACTTTGGCTGCGCTCGGGGCCAGGTCAAATGACCGAGGCTTGCTGATTCCAATGCCGTTTCCGCCAAACTTCTCTTGGCCCCAAAAAAGACGCTCAATCATTCCCCGAAGATAAGACCAGAGTCGATCATGAATGTAGAATGACCGGGTATATGCCCCATCACCCTTGGGTTTCATATGCCGTGATGCGGTCGTAAGAATAGTGACAGCCAGTACAGGCTCATCAGTGAGAAGGGTGCGATGAGTCGAAGGCTGTGAAAAGTCAGGAATGACGATAGGGCTCAACGGAGCAAGATGTTCGTAATAGCTATAATCTGTCAGAATAAAAACATCCAAAGGACAAGACAAGAAAGTTGAGCCCTTACTATGCCACGTATGCCATGGATTCCTCAACGGTTAGCCAACCTGCTCGAACAAACCGCAGACGTGACCAGGCTCTGACCGCATCGACGAACCCTGGATCTTGCAAGTTATCTATGGGTTCAGTGTGATCGCGAGCATCCGAATTTGTGTGATCCACGGAACCCGATCCTCCCGTATTATAGAAGTTACCCACGGGCACGGTACCGGACCGAGGCGCTCGCGGAAAGGAACTGCCTCCGCTTCTAGGAGTCCCGGCCTGTGTCATAGGAGACATCGGAGAATTGAAGGACGAAACCGACCGCCGCGCGGCGTATCGATTCTCGAGGCTCTGCCGATTGAGATCCTCCGTCCGTCCTGCCGCTTCGGACAGTAAGTGCAGAGCATCGTGACTATTACTGATCGCAGGCGACAACAGCTCGACGGCGGTGCGATTCATCATGGGCTGGCTCCCCTCAAGACCGAAACTCATCCCAGGGCGCTCCCCGAGCGGCCACATGGGAGGGCGCGCGGGTCTCGCATCCTGGAATTGCGAAGTAGAGGATGCAGGTTGATTAGTGCCGTATCGTTGACCGGCATCGGCGTGTGGTATTTGATTAGGTGCTACAGGAGGTCCCTCGGACCACTTCTGTCGCGAATGCAGGCTGTCACCATCAAGCGATGTCGGCTCCGGTCGTGCGTTGTAAGACCCATCCGGCGAAGAACCGTTGGGAGCCGCGTCTGCGACCATCATCCGCTTGTCACGGAGGAGAACCCCATCGACGCTGTCTTCGATCTCGGAGGGTTTCCGCTTGCGCCTGGTCGCGGAGAACTCGCATCGTTTGCTTTCGCGACGGCATCGTACACACGGAGGGGGACGCGGGTTATCGACACCTGCGACGATGGAGTTAGCTCTTTTCTTTCTTTCTAACTGCGCGCTTCCTAATTGCCGTGCAGATTGTATGACCAAGATATAGGATAGAACTCACTGCCAAGGTCACATTTGACCTTGCGCTTGCGGCAAGGGTCGCAGGCTTGATAACCGCGACGATGCTGGGGTTGAGGCGACGGCGACTTTTGCCCTTGGCCGTTCTGCGCATAAATTCCGTTCTCTTGCTGTGTATTGCTGGCAGCCATCATGATCGTGTATAGCCGCCTTCTGCCGGCACAACAGAGGGAAGTGGATTATGGTGGATTTGGGGTATGCCGATGCAAAGCGAAGGGGCCGCCAGAAAGCGGTGGGGTTTGCGGCCGTTTATCAGTTATCACACTTCTCCGGCGACTTTTTAAGGACTCGAGGGATCCATCCTTTTTCCTCGATGTAAAGCACGTGTAGGCAATGCAATTTGTCCCACTATCGACGAAAAAATGGATAAAAAGTTCTGCGATGATGAAATGGAAGACAAAAGGGCGGATTATGAGATGATGGAGAATGCCATTAACCTCGCTAAAGCCAGAATTCGCTGGGTCACGAAAAAATGCGGGGTAAAACAGGGGACAAAAAGACGGCGCAGAGGATAAAATGGAGAGCAGATAAATTATTTCCTTGGACTCTAGGCAGAGAAGCGTTCTAATGGAACCTTCCGTGCCCTCTCGTTCGTTCCAAGTTCCTCGTATCCTGTGGTTCACCAGTCGGGAGAGGCTTAGAGGGATATCTGTTATCAATAATAATGCTAAGGTATCAGACTCCGGGCTAATCAGGGCGAAGCGCCCAGATTCCCTGTTCTTCCTAATTAAAGTACAGATAACAGCGAAGATGGCGTCCACCCATTGGAACAAAATCTCCTTGCTAGCACTGAAGCGGCCAGGCACGACAATCCAACAGTAATACGCCAAGGATATGACCTGGTGATGGATTTCTAGAATCCGTGGAAGAAGATAGAAGGTTGCATCATGGCGTCTACCAAGTACGTAACGAATCAAGTGGAAAATGGGGACCATCGCACGAATGGGAAAAGTGACAGATAAGAGACGGGTACATGGATAGATGAATGGCCAACCGTCGACAAGACAAGACAAACATCGTACTCTTCGAGAGTACCTAATGAGGCATTATTCGGCAACAGACGGCATGATTTTCTAAGCCACTTGATAGGAGGTTGCGGTGCTAGTAAAGTGTGGGCTTGTTTGTTTGGCCTTGTCTGACGCGAGATCTCCATTTAATTTCGAGCTTGGTCTCACCTCTTTGCGAGGGAAGATCGACTCGGTATAGCCAACACTGTCCTCGCTTCCCCGTCGCGACAGGCTGGGAGTCAGCCGTCCTTGGAAAAGACCACGAATCCCACCAGACTTGCGTGCTGGGATCTCTGAGGTACCAGCGGTGAGAACGTACAAAAGATATTTCAGGTTGGGGAGGGTATGTCGGATATCGAGTGCTCGCAGGCTTAGCTTATTCAACAGGAACTCAATGTCTTTGTTCAGCAGGAAGACTCCATATTCAAACCGGTACTGGACATTGACCGGGTACAAAGGGTAGGTCCGTTGAGGTAATGAGGCGGACACCGGATCTTGGATCAAGGAGTTCGACAGATACGGATTAACCGGGTATGGGATCGGAACCGATAGGTAGAACGAAAGCAAGTAAACCAGGTGCGCGGTATACCCAAGTGCAGCCGCGACGGCGTCCCGATCAATGTCTCCGAAATTCGAGTTTGGAAGGGCAAGGCCGGCGATAGTAAATGCCAGCGGCTTGTCGGGAATCGGCTCGATGGGGTAAATCGCAAGCAAGTCTTCGGCAATGCGACGAATTTGACCTTTGGTCTCTTCGGTATTTTGTTTCAGCACCTGAGAGCAGGAGGCCAATTTCTGCTGAGCGTCTGGTAAATGACTGCGAGCCTTTTCCTGACTATACCTTCCACGCTCCATGGCTTCTCTTCGAGCTTTGATACTGGCAATAAGTTCCTCTTTGCGCTTCCATGTTGCGCGGAGCTGTTTTTTCCCCGCTGCAACGGCATGCTTGGTCAGAGCAAACTTATCTTGGGCGCGCGAGACGTCACTTGTGAGAGTCATGGCGTGATGGTTCTTTTCTAGGATCGCACTAATCTGCGACTCCAGTTTCTCTCTCGTGGCGAGCGCGTCTTGAATGCATTCGTCCAAATTCGCCAAGCGCATCAGGGCATCGTAGGAAGACGTTGGCAAAACGACCCCAGCTGAGAGTTTTGACGCGCCCGAAGGTATCAAGGTGTTGGAGGATGGAATACCAGTTAGGTTAGTATACACACCGTCTGTCAGATGGAAAAGGATGGAGTTCGAGGGCAAGGGTTGGTGGAAGCTATCCAACGATTTGCCAAGAAACTGCAGTGACTGCAGACACAATTGCAGTTCGACCAGCAACACATACCCCTTCATGGTCGTTGCTTTCGCCCAGAGCTTGAGAGTAAGGCAATCCGCGCGGGAGACTTTCGGCCCGCAAACATTCAGATCAAAGGCCTTGAAGCTGGGATTCGTAGCATTCTCTACAACTTCGCTCACATAGACAGGAGTATCGATGTCGCCGCAATGAATGGAGAACCACGTATCTGCCATCCTGGTCTTCGTAATATCCTCCAACTTGATCTGTCTCATCTGTGGATTAGGGTCATTCCACGGTAGCATGCTTCTCCTCCGTAGTCGCCATGCAGATTGCTGCTCGGCATCGTCACGGTTGTCCGATGTAGTGGGCACGGTCTTGAGGTCGGCAAAAGATCGTGACTGCGGCAAGGGCCGGCTTGCGCTTTGAGCTAGGAGTTTGGAAGGAGATTGCAGAGAATTGGGGATCTCCTCATCGTCAATGGTCTTCCCACGAGGCCTGCTCAAGGGGGGCGTGATGACGAGGTTGCGGATCGAAATGCCCTGTAAATGTCGGAGCTTGCGGTTCTAAAGTCAATGCGTCAGCAGCGTTTACAGAAACACTTCATAACGAAATGTTTCAAATACCGAAGGAAACAACCACGGCCTTTCGCGGCGAGTGCCAGCCTCGTCCTTGTCCAGCCCATTCGAAGTGTTCGCTGTTCGCGACATTGCGGGCGGTCGAGGACTCAGCTATAGCGGTGCGAGGGTTGTATTCGTCCGATCATATCATTCTAGTGAGCACCTGGATAATGGTTTCGTCAACGTAACTTGAGAAAATATCTGTTGCGACGACTTTTGCGCTGATTCTCAACTAGAAGAATGAAGATGATGATGATCATGCTGTTCCCCGAGCATTAGTGACGCTGCGGAGGTCCCGTTGCTGGCGACGATTCGCCCATTCTGTTCCAACAAAAATTGATCCACCCGACACTTTCCTCACTGCCCGGACACCGTGCAGCTCCCATCACGAAGCCAGATCAACCACTACACACGCCACAGTCTCGAGTCGCAATGCGCTAGAGTGAATTCACTCTATTGATTCTAATCTACACCTCAGTTTCATTTAGGTCCGCCGAGCGGTGTTTCCGGCCGCAATGGCCTCCTCTCAGTCGTTCGCCAAACCTTTCCAGAAGATCCTGGACCCGACTAAGATCGGAACCTGGAATGTCGTCCGTCGTCCACCGATCGAAAACCACAGTGTTATTCAGGGAAAGCCTCGGGAACAAAACTCGAATGCCTTCAAGACACATCAGTGGAAGGAGGGAGTGCGGTTAAGAAAGGCGCTCAATGCCATCACCCACGGCAAGAATATCTTTGTCTACCACAACATCCGCACTAACCAGGTGGTATACTCATTGACAAGATATCTGGAGGTGCGTACTATCATCGTCTATCCGTCACAGTTCGTCCTTCTAATATCTTTCGTGCAAATGTAGAAAAACAATGTCCTCCGCCAACTCATCTACCACGGCAAAAAGACTGTTCCCGCAACCCTTCGAAAAGACATGTGGGTGCCCTACTACTCAGTGCACTTTACCGACTCCAAGATCGGTCTGCGAGCCTACCACCTCCTCCGCGAATTCTCCATGCAGCGCCAGCTCGCTCCGCCCCGCGAAATGATCACCATCACCGAACAATTCCTCGCCCAGAAGCGGCCCCGCAACCCGGAAGAAGCGAAAAAATTCGACGAGAAATACGCCGATAAGGTCGGCTGGCTGATGGAGAAGAAAGACCGGGCCCGCGTAGTAATGGATCAAAAGGCTACCAGCGTTGCGGATATCGCGGCCGTGCTCTCCATCCAGGAGGATGAGATCGCGAATGGGTTTGCGGATGGCAAGAGGGGATATCTGACTCCAGCTGCTCGGAGACGGAGAAGGGAGGCGAGGAAGAAGGAGCACGAGAAGTCTGCCGAGCAGGCTGAGCGTGTGGCTGCTTTCGCGCAGACCCTGAGCACACCGGAGGTCGACTACTCGATCCAGGACCCTAATGAGGATGCGGAGCTCCTGGGAGACAACGGTGTCAAGATCCTCTGGTCTGATATCCACGATGCTCGCTTTGCGGAGAGATGGCCTGATCGTGTCTGGCATGGCGAGTTGGATCTGAGCCGCGACCATGTTATGCCCGATGAGAAGCACATCCCTGGCAAGAAGGATGTGCTGACGAGCGGTCAATTCAAAGAGAAGCAGGCTTAGATGAAGAGCGTGTTCGACGGTATGTAGGAATCGGCGATGGATTGGGCTGTGGATATTCGCATCTCTCCAACGTGACTTTGCACTTGGCACTATACAAACTGTACTTTTAGATACTACTTTACTTTTGTGCTTGGGAATGATGATGGCGTTTAGCAGACAATATTTGGATTCATCCGATAGCCCAGTAACCTGCTGGCAAGACCACAGGGAAATGTACTGCTTGCGGGCCTGGTAATCTGAGTAGATCAGAATGGCATATGGAATTTATATCTGAGCAATATGGCAATACAAAGTGCAGGATTGTGCTTGCACGGAAATGTGAAATCCAGGTCAAGCTCCGCTATCCCCGGTTGCGAAGTGAAACATCCCCGATAGGCAGCAAAGTGATAAGATAGAATATGAGAACGAGAGAAATGGAGGGTCAACACGCCACTGGGGCGCAGGTCATCTGGCTTGCTGCAGCTATTGCACACTCAAACCAATCAACACCAGTGACTAGCAAAAACGGATCAGTATAACGAGAGAGCAAGACGAAGCTTTGTTGTTTGCGTCCAAGAATGCCAGGCATAGAGAAATTTCTATCACGTCGTCGGATGAAGCCATTTCGGTTCTGTAGTGCGCGAAATCGCATCGCACTTATGTACTTCCATTAATGGGCTCAACCTTATTCGGCGAAGTCGCCTCAATAGGGACGTCAGGCCCTGGCCCATCATCAGCCATCTTCTGTAAAACCTCATCCATGACTTTCTCTGCTGGCTCGGCATCATCGGTGATTTCTGTATTGGCCATGCTCTTTCTGGCCCCCTCGACAATCTTATCAGCCTCGCTCACTCCGTATCCCGCATGTGTGGCTGGATCACCGTCGACGCCGATCGGGTCGACCGTGCGGTTGACAACCTCCTTGACGCGGTTGTTGTCAAACCGAATCACCATGCAAGAGAGGTTATCAGTGCTGAAGCGAGCAAGGGCATGGTCAACCAGCATTTTTGAGGCTTCCTGAGCATCCTGTATATTCCGTATCAGATCTACTGCTTCTTGGTCACTACATACGTCCCACAACTGTCGAAACATTAGCGTCAATAAGAACCAGTAAAGAGAAAGAATGCTCACCCCGTCGCAGGCCAGAATGATAAACTCATCCTGGTCGGGTTGGATGACTGTCTCTGTAGTGTATGGGTGGCCAGTCACAAGATCTTTGAGATAGGCATCACCTAGAGCTCGCGTAACCGCAAGAACTCCGTTTACTCGATTGTTGAGTATCAATCCTCCAGCGTTGGCAATCCGTTTCCCCTCATTTTCGTCACTGCCTTTGTGGTCGTAAGATAAGCGTAGCGCTTTACCGTTGCGACATAAAATGATGCGAGCGTCGCCAACATTCGCAGTATAGAGAACTCGTTGACGGGCGGCTTTCTCTTGCAATATTGGGAGCACAGATATAGGTGCTGATTGAGTTGGGGTGTTGTCAGCTTCCGAGTTGGGTTCGGCGGCGGCGACAGCGGCCGGAGCCAATGCAGAAGAGCCGGTCACTGAATGAGAGCTAGGGACTCTGTCCTCCCAGCGTAGAAGAGCAATGACTGCGGTACAGCCGCTGTTTTTCAACGGCAGCTTCTCCAGCTGCTGGTCGACAGAAGTGAAAGTCTGGTCAAGCAGCTCCGGAACCGGAGTGTTGGGGTTTTTCCGCATGACCTCTTCCAAAATTAGATGTAGCTTCTTCCCGCACCACTCGGCAGCGAATGTGCCGGCATGCCCGTCGAAGATCGCGAAATACCCGTTATCAGTTTCGACGACGCTGGTTTCTTCTACAGCTGTAGGCGAGACATCACCGGACTGCCTTCTGCCATTGACATCAGCCTGGCCAGAGGGTGCGGGCGTCCCCAAGAAGTTGTAGAGGTATGCATGAGTATCTTCCATAGTCCGACGACATCTTCGGTTCCGGTCCTCTGTGACACCAACTCTGAATGATGAACGTGGGGTGGGTAATGATTCACCGGCAGAATTGTTCAACGACCCTTGAGGGACAATCAATGCCGGGTCCATTCTCCCAAGTTTGTGTAGAGAAGTAGGTGGCGAGTGAGCCACGGTAAGGGTCGCAGCGGTTTCACGAGAGTTGCTCCAACTTAACGAGTTTTTGGCGTTGGAGAACAATGTCGCTGCTTTGGTGACGGTACTGCTTCTCCTCTTCTTCTCGCCGCCAGGGCTCGGTTCGTCGCTCGCTCTGCGACCAAAGAATCCACCGGGAGGAGAAAATTTCTTCTGAGATACGGTAGCTTCGTCGGTCTTGACGGTCAGGGACGGGGTATTGATGGCCTCCGAGTGTGGAATTGTTTCTAGTTTATCTTTGGGTGGGCTCGAGGAGCCACTGAACATTCTGTTCAGCAACCCACCCTGGCTAGAAAAACTTCTTCTCTTATTACCTGCCAGCTTGATAGGTAGCCCTTTGGGAAGGAGAGAAGTTCAGTGAAGGTGTACGACGGGAGTTACGGCGGTAAGGTAGTGGAGAACGACGGAGAGCGAGGTACTGACGTAGGAGGGGAGGAAGCGCTGCTGCGGGTTCGAGGGGAAGAAGGCTATGATATAGACTGTCAGTAGTTGATCCTACACAAGGTTCAATGATTATAATGCGAGCAATAATGACTGCTAGCGGATTAGAGAATCAACCCAGCAATGCCGGCGGAGGATGATGCTATCCAACAACTGCGGTTGGAGGGAATCTCAAACCCTCCTGGTAAGGGGCTGAATTGGTGACCAAGGGGACAAAAGACAGATTACAAGTCATCAGGATTAATCCTTCAAAAGACCCTGGGCGGTTATGCTCAGTCGGGTGTCATGGGCGCTTGAAGGCAAACCCCACTGCACGTCGATGGAAACGGTATGGTATCAGGCCGCTTCACCAAATCAAAAAGGTAAACACTCACGGAATGATAGGATAGTATCTAGGGATCGTCTGGATCTCCTCTATTTATCGATAGCCGTCAAATAGATACAGAAAGTCGTGAATAGATGGTAGCGCAATGCAGATAGATGGTTGGGGGGTGGAACTGATGAACGCTTATTATTAGTAGCAGCAGTAGTGATTACTACTAACAACTAATAGCAATAGTAATTATCCTGGGGGAGAGGGGAAGTCTGCCTTACTGCCTTGGGGAACTGTTTAGGTCATTGGGTCACCTAAACTGCGGCTACGCTAAGCCTAATAGGGCAACGCGGCTGCAGGAAGTCCCGAAACGGTGGGAAGACGGAGATAAACTGGCCGAGGATCGGGGATGGATGGAGATAGGGATTTGGATCGAGACTAGAACACCAGAGACCTGAAGAGCTCAGAACTGGCATCACCCTCTTGAAATGGGAAGTTTCAGGGAGTAATGCAGCTAGATGAATCATTAAAAGTTGTAATAAGAGTTCCCAGGGCAGATAGTCATAAACTGATGTTCTTAGGAGGTATTGGACATCGCAGACTTCGTGGTTTGATAGCTGGTGGCTAGTTTAAGACACTTTATTACTTTATCGTCTAGAGTCGCAAACAATTCCTTTGTCGAGGTGTCGTTCACGAAGAATGCAGCAAAATATATTTAAGGGAACCTACAGGCTATCTTATGTTATGGTACACTGGTTTACAGGACTGTCTGCAAGGCAGCTTAGCTGCCCATGACAACAAATTAGCCATCATACGTTCCATATATATTTGAGACGTAAATACATTCGATCATCATATAAGGCTGAAGTACTTCTAGACGTATTCCGTATGGAACATGCTCAATCCCAGGAACTGAAATCACCAAAGCCTCCGCCACCCTTGAACTTCTTCCGTGCAGGCTCCGGCTCCGGCTCCTCATCCACAAACTCAACAATCTCGTCTTCCTCCTGATTTGCCTGGTTCGCTAATGCGGCCTTGAGGTACTTCCCTACTCCCCCAGCCGAGCTCTCGCCTGCTTCTGTCGCCCCAGGTCCTCGAACTCGTTTCCCAGTCCAGGTTACGCGATCATCGTCTATCTCCTGAGATGTCTTGGTGTCGTCTGTCGAGGTCGTACCTTTCGCCTCGTCTGCCTGCTTCTGTTTCAGAAACTCCTCGAATGGATCCACAAAGATCGTTACGTCTTTGATGCGGATGTCAGGAGTAGGTCGGTTGGTTGTAGGATTCACTGGGTGAGTTTCCATGTTGTCCAATGTTGGCGACGAGGGCGTTGGGTCGTCTATTACATGACCGAAAATGGTATGTTTGTTGTTCAAATGAGGCAGCGCGCGGTAAGCAATGAAGCTGCGATCATTGTCAGCATTCGAATTTAAGGCGATCAGACACGGAAGCCAGAACTTACAATTGACTACTGTTGGTGTTTTTGCCTTTGTTGGCCATACTTAAGGTTCCTCGAGAGTCGTGTTTCAAACGCCCTTCGAACTCATCGTTGAAGTATTTGCCCCATATACTCTCACCTCCGCGGCCAGTACCAGTAGGGTCTCCACCCTGGATCATGAATCCCTTGATATTGCGATGGAAAGTGACATCTTTGTAATAACCTTTCTTGGCCAGTTTGATGAAATTCCACACGGCTTTAGGCGCATACTCAGTGTGCAGCTCCAGATTCACGTCGCCTAGCGTAGTCGAGATTCGAGCATAACCTTTTTGCTTAACTCGCCCTCGTTTCAACATGTACTCTTCATCTGAAAGAAGTGCAAGCTCGGCCGAAGTATGCGGCGTCATACCAGTGCTTGTAAACGACGCAGCGGCCAGACCAGTAGTATGCCTCGCCGCATTATACGGAATAGATTTCCCAGCCTGGTGTGAAACGGTCTTTTGCGACGCAGCTGCGGCACTCATACCCGGCTTTGTCAATCCTTTTGACGCGGCAGCCGACTCGGCGCGCTGAGCCCTCTCGGCACGAGCCTTCGCCACGGCTTCCTTCGCCTTCAGGATCTTCGCCGCATTTCCCTGCGCATTGACATTGACATTATTCGACGGATCCTCTCGTTCCCGTATTTGTTGCTCAGTCAACGCACTCTCTCCC